GAATATTAATTGACCATATATGTTTGGGTTAATGTCTGGAGTCTCTATTCTGTTCCACTGGTCTGTGGCTCTGTTCTTGTGCCAGTACCAAATTGTCTTGATTACTATGGCTTTGTAGTAGAGCTTGAAGTTGGGGAGTGAGATCCTCCCCACTTTATTCTTCTTTCTCAGGATTGCTTTGTATGCCCATATCTTTTGAGCTAGGAATTCCTTAGCCCAATCTTTAATAGCATTGGTTTGTATGTCAATATTTCCACCATTCAAGAGTGGATTATTTACCTCTAGTTAAAGATGTTTGAGGATTTTTACTACTTTTAACAAATTTGATGGTAGAAGGGAGATTTTCTTTTCTTTTTCTATTAAGGTATCATTGATATACAATCTTACAAAGGTTTCACATAAGCAACATTGTGGTTATTGCATTCATCCACATTATCAATTCCCCCCCCCACCCCATTGCAGTCACTGTCTTTTAGCATAATGAGATGCTGTAGAGTCACTACTTGTCTTCTCCATGCTATACTGCCAGAAGGAAAATTTTCTAATCTATGTTTTAATGTTTTCCCAAATTTGGTCTATCTTTTCAGAAACTGCAATTTACTCTGAAAAGTTCAGGTTTGATATTTTTGCTCAGTGTCAGCAGTGTGTTTATAGTTACGGAATGTACTTTGCCTCTTGGTTTTTTATAATTGCTATTTCTGGTCCATGATGCTAGGTAGGGTATTTTGTCAGTGAGGCACTTTATTGCCCACTTAAAAAAAAAAGGTTTTTAATTTAGGTTCTAGTCCCCTTGTCTGTTCTTTTTATTTTATCTTATTATTATTAAAAATTTTTTATTGATGTGTAGTTGATATACAAGCTCATATTGGTTTCAAGTATGCAACACAGTGCTTCAATAGTAACCCATATTATTAAATCTTCATCCACACTAATGTTGTTACTACTGTCAACACAGGAAGACGTAACAGAATTATTGGTTATATTCTCCATGATGTACTACCATCCCTGTGACCAACTTACATTATGATTGAGAATTTTTGTGCTCTTTTATCCCCCTCCCCCTCCCCCCACACCCACCCTAACCCCTCCCCCATGGTAACCACCAGTCACTCTCCTCAGTGTCTGTGAGTCTACCGCTGTTTTGTTCATTTTGTCTTGTTTTGTTTTTATATTCCACAAGTAAGTGAAATCATGTGGCATTTGTCTTTCTCTGCCTGGCTTATTTCACTTAGCATAATACCCTCTAGGTACATCCATGTTATTATAAATGGCAGGATTTCATTCTTTCTAATGGCTGAATAATATTCCATTGTGTATATATATATATATATATATATGGATAAAGAAAATGTGATATATATATCCATTCATCAATTTACGGACACTTCGGTTGCTCCAATATTTTGGCTATTGTAAATAATGAAGCAATAAACATAGAGGTGCATGTATCTTTTCAAATCAGGGATTTTTTTTTCTTCAGGTGAATTCCTAGAGGTTGAATTACTGGGTCATATGGTATTTCTGTTTTTAGTTTTTTGAAGAACCTCAATACTGCTTTCCACAGTGTGTGCACCAATTACATTCTCACCAACAGAGTAAGAGGGTTCCCTTTTCTCCACCTCCTCGCCAACACTTGTTATTTCTTTTCTTTTGGGTAGTGGCCATTCTCACTGGTGTGAAGTGATATCTGATTGAGTTTTTGATTTTCATTTCCCTGATGATTAGCTATATGGAGCATCTTTTCATGTGCCTGTTGGCCATCTCTATTTCTTCTTTGGAAAAATGTCTGTTCAGGTCCTCTGCCCATTTTTTAATTGGGTTATTTGCTTTTTTGGTGTTGAGGCATATGAGCTTTTTAGATATTTTAGATGTTAACCCCTTATCAGACAAATCATTTACAAATATATTCACCCATACTGTAGGTTGCCTTTTTGTTCTGCTTATGGTGTCCTTTGCTGTACAGAAGATTTTTAGTTTGATGTAGTCCCACTTGTTCATTTTTTATTTTGTTTTGCCTGCCCAAAGAGATGAATCCAGGAAAATATTGGTCATGCTTATGTTTGAGAGATTTTTGCTTATGTCTTTTTCTAAGAGTTTTATGGTTTCATGTCTTATGTTTAGGTCTTTAATCCATTTTGAGTTTACTTTTGTGTATGGTGTTAGATAGTAATCCAATTTCATTCTCTTGTGCATAGCTGTCCAGTTTTTCCAACACCAATTATTGAAGAGACTTTCTTTTCCTCATTGTATATTCAAGGCTCCTTTATCATATATTAATTGACCATATATACATGGATTTACATCTGGGCTCTCTAGTCTGTCCCAGTGATCTATGGGTCTGTTCTTGTGTCAGTACATACTGTAGCTTTGTACTAAAGCTTGAAGTCAGGGTGTAACAGCCTGGCTTTGTTCTTCTTTCTCAGGATTGCTTTAGACATTCAGGGTCTTTTGTGGTTCCATATGAATTTTAAGATTATTTGCTGTAGTACATTGAAAAATGCCATTGATGTTTTGTTAGGAATTGCATTGAATCTGTAAATTGCTTTGGGCAGGATGACCATTTTGACAATATTAATTCTTCCTATCCATGAGCATGGGATAGATTTCCATTTATTTGTGTCTTCTTTAATTTCTCTCAGGAGTGTCTTATAGTTTTCAGAGTACAGGTGTTTCACCTCCTTGATTAAGTTTATTCCTAGGTATTTCATTCTCTTTGATGCAATTGTAAATGGAATTGTTTTCCTGATTTCTCTTTCTGCTAGTTTGTTGCTAGTATATAGGAACACAACAGGTTTCTGTGTATTAACTTTGTATCCTGAAACTTTGCCAAATCCAGTTATTAGTTCTAATAGTGTTTTGGTGGAGCCTTTATGGTTTTCTATATATAGTATCATGTCATCTGCAAATAGTGCCAGTTTTACTTCTTCCTTACCAATTTGGATGCCTTTATCTCTTTATCTTGTCTGATTGCCACGGTTAGGACTTCCAGTACTATTTTGAATAAAAGTGGCGAGAGTGGACATCCTTGTCCTTTTCCTGATCTTAGAGGTAAATCTTTCAGCTCTTTGTAATTGAGTGTGATGTTAGCTGTGACTTTGTCATATATGGCCTTTATAATGTTGAGGTACCTACCCTCTATACCCATTTTGTTGAGAGTGTTTATCATGAATGGGTGTTGAATTTTGTCAACTGCTTTTTCTGCATCTATTGAGATGATTATATGGTTTTTATCCTTTTTGTTAATGTGGTGTATCACATTGACTAATATACAAATATTTTACTATCCTTACATCCCTGGAATAAATCCCACTTGGTTATGATGGGTGATCCTTTTGATGTATTTTTGAATTCCGTTTGCTAATATCTTGTTGAGGTTTTTTGTGTGTATGTTCATCAGGGATATTGGTCTATAGTTTTCTTTTTCTGTGGTGTCTTTGTCTGGTTTTTGTATTAGAGTGATGCTGGCCTCATAGAATAAGTTTGGAAGTATTCCCTCCACTCCTATTTCTTGGAATACTTTAAGAAGGATGGATATTAGCTCTTCTTCAAATGTTTGGTAGAATTCAGCTGCAAAGCCATCTGGTCTTGGACTTAAGTTTGTTGGGAGTTTTTTGTTTACCAGTCTAATTTCATTACTGGTAATTGGTCTGGTCAGATTTTCTGCTTCTTACTGGGTCAGTCTTAGAAGATTTCCCCTTGTCTACTCTTACGCACATTTTTTGTAAACTCTTCTGAAAGATAAACATGTGCATGTGCAGGATGCCTGAGGCAATTCCTATAAAGTGGTTAATGTCAACACAAGTGAGAAATATCTTAGGAACATATGGTATCTGAAAGTGCCATATTCATGCCAAAAACAAACATGCAGTTTACCAAAATGATCAACTAGATAAAACAAAACAATAACACCTGCCAAATTAAAAATGCTGTGAAAGCATTTTTAATATTGTTTTAGTCATAAATGTTGACAGTCTCTGACCCTGGCCTCTCTGCTAGTGAGGGCACTAAGACCCAAAGGGACTGAGTATCATCTAGAGCATGGTGAGAATTCAAAGGGCCAAATGTGTGTTTTGTGTTGCCCAATTATAAATAATATAGTACTCCACAAAAATCAAGTGTGGAGGTAATGAGAAGGCCGAGAGACAAAGAATCAGCAGCTTTCTGCCATGTTTACTCATTCTTTCCTTCACTTAAACATGCATGGAATTCTTACTATGTGTCAGATGCTGTGGCAGGTTCTGGGGAAAGAATTGAGGACAAAATCTCTGTCCTCAAGGGGCCCATTCTCTGTTTTTCTAACATTGGTTCAAATTTCATCACTTATTCAGGACCAGACCTCCAGACACATAGACATCCCTCTTCATAGGTTCTAGGCTTTATTGGCTGGTCTCTTCCAATATGCTTCCTACTTTTACCTTAAATGTTTATCATAATACTGATATCTCTGAATTATTTTACCATACACCTCCCCTTAAAATGGAGATAGCTTATCTTGGGAAAAAAGTTCTAATCTACCAAAATTTATAAATTTTGAATAATGCAAGATCCTGAGCAAAAGGCACAAAGGCTGGGTAGTGTGGGTATGGGCACAGGGACAAGTTCAGAGTAGGAGAATGTAGGGCCCTATGGGCTGCCAAGATTGGTGGGTGTGGTGAGCTGCATCTGAGAAGGGATGGGGATCTTAAAGAGGGGCTGGAAGGGCCTTGTCAGATTGTTCCAAAGGCTTTAACCAAAGGACTACTTATGTAGGTGGGAGAGGGATGAGGATAAAGGGGAGCATCACAGGATGCTGAGGCACCCAGACAGCAGTGACAGCAGGAAGCCATCATCATGCAGCATCGCAGAGAGGACAGAGTCACAGGAGCCCACTGAAAGAGCTCCAATGGAGGGATGTCTGTAATGATAGAGGCACAACCACTATCAACTAAAGTGACTCAAGAAGGGAGGGAGGAGAAGAAATACCCAGGCTTCCCCTGCTTATGCCTTCTGACCTCTTGCAGGAACCTCAAATTGGTCAAATCCAACCAGAAGACAACTGGCAGTGGAACCTGAGTGGTGCTGTCCAGAGGAAGCCCGCTTCCTGAAGCAGAGGACTGAGTGGAGAAGGGGAGAGAGTGGATCTGAGTTGGGGACAAATGGAGAATAACTAGCACATACTTAACAAAGAAGAAAAACCTCCAAACACGTGAAAATACAGAATAGAACAACAATTCCCCATCTAGCCATGACCCAGCCTTAATAGTTATTAATATTTTATATTTGGTGGAATGGAATATATTTTATATTTCATTGTTTAAAATAACCCACTTAACCTATATTAAATCTCTCACTGATTGAAAAACAGAGCAGTTTGTTACACTGAGTCTTATTGAAAGCCATGTTCTATACTAGTTATCTTCTTGCTATTTGAAGAAGTTGGAAAGCTAAAAGCTATGTTTCTTGGGTTGTATTGCAGCTAGGATTCTGCATGTGAATTATGTTCTGCCCTTAAAATAGACTTACATGCAATTTGGAAGGCAGACTTTAGGAGGCAGCTATCTCCCTGCAGTGGAGGAAGCAAGCTCTGCCAGATGCAAGTGTTGACAGTTATTGGATTCCATGTTCCACTGTGGAGATGCTGTCTCCCAGTGGGTAAGGAATTTGTAGCAATGGTGTTTGGCCTTGAAATCCAGTCTGGTGGAGGCCCCCTGACTTTTACTCCTTGAACCATCGTTTGAAACAACCCAATTCCCCCTGTTACATCTCTTACTAACTGAAAAACTTTGTTCAGTTTTTGTTTGTTGCACCAAATCCTGATCCTTATACTAGGTCAGTATACTTATGGAACTTGATTGCATTCTGAAGAGTGATGTGAATGCTTAGAGCTTACATGAAAAAGATGGAGATTTGTTGAAACACAAGAAGCATTGTTTGTGGAGTAGTAGGTGATACTTGGTTTTGAAATTCTAAAAAAAGGTGTTGGGAGAATTCATTTTCAAATTAATAGGCAGTGTTATTTAATAAAATGCTCACTGGGGCCATAAGAAATTGGTGTTCTAGAAGTAATGATGGATGAGTTGCAGAAGGGCAAAAATGGAACCTAGGAGGTCTCTGGCTCAAGGAACGTGATCTGTGGCACATTACTGGATGGGCAGTATTTGGAGTGTGTAAGTTTGATAGTTTCTATGTAGCATCAGTAATATGTTATTGATGGATTATGGATGAAAGTGTCTGCATTACATTGCTAACAGTGTGTATTTGCCAAAGCTGCTAAGACTGAGACACTAAATGGGATATTAAATTCTTCCAGAGTAAAACAACCTGTATGCTGGCTGGTCCCAAGGGCAGTTTCCATTATTACCTCATGGCAACTTAAAGCAGAAATCAGCATTTCCATAAATTCATCATAAAGAATCTATTTGCACTAAGCATTTATGAACAATGAAAGTTTTACTGAAAGTTTCATAGGAGCGACTGAAGATGTGATTTACATTGCACATGCTAGAGTATTTCACCAAAGAAAAATTCCTTTAAGACTTATCTCTTTTCCCAAATCAATCTTTTATTTGGCCAGTAGCCATAAAATTGGCTTCCCTCTCACTTACTTTATGGAAGCCATATTCTTGGCAAGTCTATCACAGATATCGATAGACACGGAGGTGGACAATGGAGGATGGTTGGGGCAGTTTATGACAGCAGTAGATTCCTGACATCAGATGAAGGTGAGTTCTCCAAACACCTCCTCTAATATCTTTAATGTACTATAGTGTTTACAGGGTAATACCAAGACCTGTGTGTGTTTTTCTTTCCAGTTGTAAACTGAGATAATAGCATTTTATTCCATCTTCTTTTCTATTTCCATTCTTGTCAGATTATCAAGAAACAATTTCCTGTTTCCTGACAATAAAGAAGTAGATAACTATAGTATCCTGTTCTTTAACTGCTTCAGTGGTTTTGTATGTGAGAAATCATATGTAGGCTCAGCTCCAAAGATCCTGGAGACTCCCTGTTTAACCTGTCAGCAGCCACGGGTAATAATTTCTACATGTAATTGCCACATAAATGCTTAAATAATATAACAGAAAACTGTCAGCTAAAAATGAAATTACAAAAGCGATATAGTATTGGGGGCTCCACCATTTTTAAGTATCTATCACGTTTTTACAGATATTTTCTCACTTAATTCCCTCGACACACCTTAAGGTAATTGTTATCAGCTACATTTAATAGTTGAAGAATCTAAGAAAAGTTAATTCATTCATCTGGGTCATAGAGATAATGAATAGTGAAACTTAGAATCAATTACAGGTGTGAGTTGGAAGTGTGTGTGTGTGTGTGTGTGTGTGTGTGTGTGTGTGTGTGTGTGTGTTGGGGGATCAGGGAAGAGAGAGAGCCAGTCCAGCTTCCCAGCTAAAATTGAAGGGAAAATGTTAGCCTTATCCACTCGTTGAGACTATAATGAAAAGACAGAAGATGTAGCAGTGCAGTAAGACTATGAAATTTGTAGAGAAAGTAATCCATTTAAGTAAACAATCACCTCAGTGAAATATTTATCACAAAATCAGGGTTTGTACATTGAAGAAAGCTAGAAAATACAGATAAAAATAACAAAATGGAAACATTATGTTCTCACTACACAGGGATTACCTCTGTTTCCACTTTAATCATATTCTTTCAGGACAACATATGTACATATATACAGGTATGTATTTTACAGGAAGAGGTCACATTGTACTTAATGTTTTGTAACCAGCTTCTTTCAGTTAACAATGTCCTTATTTTTTTGACAATAAATTTGCTCCTGGCTCCCCTAGGCGACCAGAAGCAAACTATGTGTGAATGACAAACCCCACCTCTTCTTGGCCCTGCCTCCAAGCTGGCTTGCTTCCTTGGCTGGTTGGAATCCGGCTATGTTCTTTTCACAATAGCATCTTACTTGTGAGTGAAATTTTTCATCTCTTCCTCGAAGTATAAAAATAAAAGACAATGAGATTTAAATAAGGATTTAGATTTATATTAGATACCATAAATTCCTTACCCAGAATCCAAACTGCATGTGTGTCAGCACACATGCACAGGCATGTATTCTATGTTTACAAGGTAGAGATAAATGACAAATAGGTGCTCTGGTATTAGGATTCTGCTTGTCTTTACATAGTTTCTGGTTATAGTTCTGTTCAGAGATAATTAATGTGGGAATTGGTGACTCAGGGCCCACCAGATATGATATGATTTCTGGATCATTACCAAAAAAAGATTCATGGATATTAGGGTTATTTGGGTGTTAGAGACCAGAGGACTTATTCCAGCTTTGCAGGTATTTAAACAGCAACATCCAGCTACTTTCTTACGTTAGCTCCTGAAAGGTTGATGTATTTCCTGTTCTGCGGTATACACTTCTCCCTCAAAGGTGAAGTGAACATAGTGTCATTACTTGGTCTTGTTAGTATTCTACTTTATACAGCATCTTAGGAGCAGCCATTTGCTTCCTCAAACTTTGCACCCTTCCTTGTTAAGCTTTACTGATTAAAAAAATTACCCCCACATTTTTGTTGGGTTGATGTGAAAATTTGTTATTGAAATTTCTTTTCTTGTTAAAAGTCACAGCACATATCCCAACTTGGGATCATCACGCTTAATAAATAATGTGCTGATGCACTATAATTGATAGTTGATGCTCTCTATTATGTTTTTTTTTGTAGATAATTATTTTTTATTGAAGGGTAGTTGACACACAGTATTACATTAGTTTCAGGTGTGCAACACAGTGATTCAACATTTATATACATGATAATTCTAGGTACTAGCTATCACCATACCAAGTTGTTACAATATTTTTTTTTTATGAGGGCATCTCTCGCACTCACTGATCAAATGGCTGTCAACAACAACAAAACTCTGTATAGAGGAGTCAATGCTCAATGCACAATCACCAATCCACCCCAAGCCCAACTCTCACCAGTCTCCAATCCTCTGAAGCACATCGAACAAGGTCCTACATGGAGAACAAATTCTTACATAGTGAATAAGTTACATGGTGAACAGTACAAGGGCAGTCATCACAAAAACTTTAGGTTTTGATCATGCATTATGAACTATAAACAATCAGTCCAAATATGAATATTCATTTGATTTTTATACTTGATTTATATGTGGATACCACATTTCTCTCTTTATTATTATTATTTTTAATAAAATGCTGAAGTGGTAGGTAGATGCAAGATAAAGGTAGAAAACCTAGTTTAGTGTTGTAAGAGAGCAAATGTAGATGATAAGGTGTGTGCCTGTAGACTATGTGTTAATCCAAGCTAGACAAGGGCAATAAAACATCCACAGATGCAGCAGATTTCTCTCAGAACAGAGGGGGAGAGGTTCTAAGCCTCACCTCTGTTGATCCCCAATTTCTCACCTGATGGCCCCCCTGTGACTGTGCCTGTCTTAGGTTGTTCCTCCCTTGA